CAGGCGGTCTTGTGGGGCAGCGGGTAGGTGGCTGGTACCCCTGCCCCCACCTACCCCCCACTGACTCCTGTGTAATAACTCGGTCCCGGGATCCCTCGTGGAACCCGAAACCATGTCCAGACACATTTAAATACACACGATGACACCATGTAATCAAGTAATGGATTAAAACCAAGAATCACATTAAATACATCCTAACACGACTCCTAAACATGCCAAGACTCAATACCCGATCATGCAAAATCCCACCCAAACATACCAAGAATACCACAATACGAAATCCACGTTTTAACCCTAGGGCTCTAGTCATAATTAAAACATAAGATCGTTTATATAATTTATCTTAGAATCAAGAACATCAAGATTATCACATAAGTATCAAGATCAACATATAAACATCAAGATTATCTCATAATTATCATATCAATCTCAGGAAAAGCCTTATCAAGATGCAAACACAGAATCACATATCAAAGGAGCCAATGAAGAAGATTATAGCAAGAAAAATAGGTTTTGTTGAGACATGGGTTACCTCTTAGCCTTAATTAGAATCCTTGGCTACTAAGGTTCTTTCTCTAAGATCTCCTCTTCGTGATTTCTCCTACGTTTGGTGCTAGGGGAATTCCTGGGAATTCTTGTGTGGTGGAATCTATTGTAGTGTGATTTCTAAGTGCCTCCTAGGTCCTTATATATATATATATATATATATATATATATATATATATATATATATATATATATATATATATATATATATATATATATATATATATATATATCCAAGAGTCCTAACTAGGGTTTGAATGGTAAGGATTTACTTATTCTATTCCTTATAGGACTAAGGGTTTGGTTTAGGGATAAGGTCCATGATCCATGGTGGACCCTTCTCAATTAATTAAGGGAATTCAATTCTCTTTTAATGGTAAGCAATTAAATAATTAATTTGGGTTAGAGGTCGTAACACGGGGTGTTACACCCTCCCCCCTAACGGAAAGCTTCGTCCCCGAAGCTTAGATTTGCTGAGGTTGACCATCCTTCCTTATCCTGAGGATTCGTCTTGGTTACCTTGTGTGAAGAGCTCGGGTTAGCGTTCCCTCATGGCGTCTTTAAGTTCCCATGTTGCCTCTTCGGTCCCGTGATTGGACCAGAGGATCTTTACCATTTCTATGGTCCTTTGGTGAGTGGCCCTTGTCTTAGTGTCCAGGATCCTTACGGGTTTCTCTTCGTAAGTCGGTGTGTCGTCCCGGCTTACTGCCTCGGGTTGTAAAACGTGACTTGCATCGTGCACGTATTTATTTAGCTGCGATACGTGGAACACGTTGTGCACCCGTTCTAGCTCGGCGGGTAAGGCGAGGCGGTAGGCCAGGTTCCCGACTTTCTCTAAGATTTCGGAGCACGCTAGTCAAAGCTTGGGACTTAGCTTAAATAGCTTTAGCTCAGTAGTAGGCCTGCGTTCCTTGGGATTTGTATTCGAATATTGAATTAAGGATTCATTATGCTTAGATAGTTTAGCCTGTGCACCTAGGTTCTCAAACCTAGGTGTAACACCCCGAAATTTTGAAACTTTTGAAACTTATATAATAAAGGTAAATTCTCATTAAATCCCAAAACTAAACATAAGAGTGCGGGGTGCTATGCCACATCTGAGCTGGAGAACTCAGATGCACAGGCTAAACTAACTAAATATCCTCAAGCAATGTCAATACATAATCATGGCACGCAGGCAGAAAGGAAAACTAACTAATCTACGCTTCGGATCTCTAGCGTGCTCCGGGGTCTACTCATCTGTGCCTGAAAGCCAAATATATCTGTTCAGCGAGAGATGCTGGTAACCCACTCCAACGTGTTGAAATACAATATAGGTATATATATATATAGGAAAAATCATTTTGAAGCAGGAAGATATATACTTAGGAGACTCTAGCTTTAAAATCAGGAATGGCCTCAACAAATAGGGGTAAGCACAATAATTAATGATAACAGTTAAGTAGAATCATCATGAAGAATACGCAACTAAGGTCACAGTCTATGTCCACATCAATCATATCATCATTTAATCATCATTCTAATCACCATTCAATCATCATTTGTGACACTCAATCACACTGCTTTGGCGCCACGGGACCAATCGCATGCCCCGAACATGAGGGTTAATGCGTATAGCATTAACACGGCCTCGCAGCACCCTACCTCATACCGCGGCATGAAGGGAGTTGATCGCAACCAACCCATAGAGGACCGCTGACGAACTCAACGTCGGACCACAATCCAACACACCGCTGATACGCACAGTCGGTGGACCGTGATCCCATTTACAAGGGGGGACTTACGACCCTACACACCGTTGATGCGTACAGTCGGTGGACCGTAGCGGATCAAGCCCGACACACTGCTAAGCTAGACTCAGTCGGTGGGCAAAGATCCTCAAAGACTACGGCCCTACACACCGCTGTCCCATCATTCGGTGGATCGCAGCCAGCCGTAGCCCTACAAACCGCCTGGCGTGTCCAGGTCGGTGGGTCATATCACCGAGGCCCATATTTGGACCTGTAGTCCAAGAAGTGAATCAATTTGGCCTTAGCCACTTCTGAGCCTTAGCTCAGGAACAATCCATTTGGCCTTCAGCCACTTCCGAACCTTTAGTCCGGGAACAATCCATTCGGTCTTCAATCGACTTCCGAACCTTAGTCCGGGAACAATCCATTCGGTCTTCAACCGACTTCCGAACCTTAGTCCGGGAACAATCCATTCGGCCTTCAGCCGACTTTCAAACCTTAGTCCGGGAATCACCCAATTGGTCTGTAACCAAAATGGGGGATCATGCAACACATAACACATAGGAGCACGTAATAGCAAATTGGGAGGGGAAAGACGTATAAATAAACTTACGTGTGGTCATTCACATACTAAGAATAGTCCTAAGGATTCATACAACTTCCACCTAGGTCGACGGGTTACCAATTCCACTAGCATGCAATTCCTAAGACTCATTTAACCTACGAATGGTACCCAAAATATCAAACTAGACTCAAGCACGACAAACGGGATCCGTGGGACACCATGGGGGAGCGGGGAACATCAAACGGGGAAGCCAAAGATCCGGGGTGGGGTACGGACCAGCCGGTAGCCAGTGGGTGGAGGGCCACCAGCCGGTAGCCGGTGGGTGGAGGGCCACCCGCCGGCTGCCCGCCGGAGAACACTGTTTATGCTCTCTCTCTCTCTCTCTCTCTCTCTCTCTCTCTCTCTCTCTCTCTCTCTCTCTCTCTCTCTCTCTCTCTCTCTCTTTACTTTGTTTACTGCTCATTTAGTTTGTGCATGCTTTAACTGTGAACTAACCCGTAACAATTTATCGCATATCTTTAGCTATCTGGGTTTGATAGTTCTCACGTTTGCATGCGAACCAAATTTTGCATACATCATCTTTGAGCCATATCAAGTGTTTCTAACGTGTTGCATGTTTAGAATCTCTCTTTGAGCACCGCACTTTTGAGCATAACACTTTACCGTTAACTATTCCGATGTGCACACTCTAAGTTGGATAGTTGTTTATACGTGTTACTTGGAGTTGAAATTATCAAAGTGTTGTGTGTCTAAGAAAAGTTGAAAAAGTTCGAAGTCTATTCACCCCCCCCCCCCTCTAGACTTCTCGCCACCCTTTCGGGACCAACAATACTTTTAATGAAAAAATATATTTAAATCAGAATGTAATATTAAAAATTATAATAATCCTATCTCGAGGATCCGTGACATTCATGTTTGTCTTCGTTTTGACTAAGATTGGGCATTTCAGTTTGGTTATCCGAACCGAATCAAACCAAATAGCACGGTTAGGTTTTGGTTTCTTATTAAAAACCAAATGGTTCTATATTTTATAAACCGAATAGTTTCGATTCGGTTCAGTTAAAGATCGAACCGAACCAAAAAAAAAAAATGAATCATTTATATATATATATATATATATATATATATATATATATATATATATATATATATATATATATTACTAGGATCATTAATTAAGAATAAAAGGGCAATTAAGACAATTGAATGGTAGTATAATTATGGTAAAATTATAATTTTGATATGTAACCTAAATTAAAGAATAATAATTATAGTAGGATTAGACCAAAGGCAAACAGACGTAGTGGAATGTATACACAAATGTGTGCTTGACTGTAGTGGAATGTATGCACACAGATTAGACCATGGAAAAAAATTCAGATAGCGTGTGTGCACGAGTTTAGATTATCGTGTGCGCACCGGAGAACATGGCAGCTTTAAACCAGTAGTAACGCGTGTGCATGCTTTATATTGTAAGTGTGCACAGTTGACCGTAATATACAATACGCCCATAGTCACATATTCTGATCTTAATTATATATGTTTTTGTTATACGTACCAGAAATGTGTGCACTATTAACTCCAAAAAAATGATGACACTGCAGGTACAACTTAGTGTTCGTCCCTTTCATGGGGGTTGATAACCACAAAAGATGCATAACATTCGGAGTAGGACTAATTTATGACCAATATTTGACTAGTTATATTTATCAGACTTATTTTTACTTAGCATATATTATTTAAAAAATTAACATAAGGAAACCTACGCACACAGGGAAATGTGTAAGCGCACACAACTTGGAGGACTAGTATTTGGCTAGTTATATGTATTAGATATATTTTTACTTAGCAACTGATATTAAAAAAAAAAAAAATAACAGTCGATAACCTACGCACACAGGTAAATATGTATGCGCACACAACTTGGAGGACAAACATCTAGTTGACCACCAGCTCACATAAAGAGTACATAGCGGTGCACACATGCTCGAAACTAAACCCCCAACAATGAATGTGAACGTGCGTTTGAAATTCATAAAAATTAGTAACAACAAACCACCATGCACACAAGAAAGTATTAATTCACAAACATGTTGTATGGTAGTAAAAAACGTAACGTGAACATCCTAAATCTATTAGCATTGAGTATAAGCAAATAGTAAGACAATAGACGTTCACACAATTAAAAATAAATGTGCAAACATGGAGGAGGACATAGGCAACGCTCCACAACTAAAAGGGGGTCCAAAATTAGTGAAACAAAGAGAGAACACTAGTTGACACCGATATAAACCACCAAAACACTCACAAGAAACACAACGAACCCAAAAACATAGCTTAACAACTATTCGTGTCCCATTACAGTAGCATCAAAAACTAAAATGTGCACAAGATGATGGCCGCACAATCAAACGTATCCGTGTGCAAGCTGCTCACCACGAGACTCCTCTTCAGACGATGAATCATCATCGGGGGCATTCCACAGCAGGTCTTGCTGCAATCTCGCTTGGAAATCCAAAGGTGGTGAAACGAAGTCATCATCGCTCACTCAAAGTTCCAAAAACACGAATTCAACATCTTCATAACCTTTATTTTATAACTGGTAAAAATAATAATAATAATAATAATAATAATAATAATAATAATAATAATAATAATAATAATAATAATAATAATAACTAAACCCTTGAATTTTTTTTGATGAGAACAATAGCAAAAATGAATAGAGAAGTCAAAAAGACCACAAATCATCACCCAAGCAAACCCCTCAACCCAAGCCCCACAACAGAACACAATTAAGAAAGAAAAAGAGGAGAATATGGATATAGAGCAGCAAAAATGAATACGGGAGGAAAATACAACTAAATTCATCACCCCCAAGCAAACCCCAACTGCACCACCCCCCCCCCCCCCCCCCATCAACACTAGATTTAGAACAACATATGTTGATATTAAATGTTCAATTTATATTTTTTCATCATTTTAGGTTCGTCATTGCCCCAATTTTTACAATTGTAGTTTGGCGATGGAAGTTGATGACAATGGTCAAGAAATTGCTGTTGTCTAGTTCACCGAAGATGATCAGGGTCTGGCAACTGGACAGTTTGCTGCATTCTATGATGGGAGGGCTTGTATTGGCTCTGGCGTGATCTTGGAGTCTTGGGACGATCAAGGATATCCTGTTTGCGAGAGGGCTCTTGAAATAGCAAGGATGGAGGATAAGTCCATGCTTGTTCATAAAGAAAGAGAGATGGAATGTCCTTCTCTGATCTAAAATTTCAAAATAATTAAGAGGAAATAGCAGATAAAACAAATAAGACAAACCCAAATCTGACATAAATATAAAACTAGAGAAGAAACATGTAATACCCACCCCCAGCTCCCGATGACCTATTGCGCACAGGACCGGCGAATTCGAAACGACAAGAACAGAAAAACAACAAAAAAAGGGGAGAAAATCATACCTCGACCGACATGTGCACATGATGATCCCCACCGCTTGCCTCTACCGTGGTCCCCAGCCAGCACCATCTTCGTCGTTGGAGAGCACCAGAACGGAGACCTTCGCTTTTGGAAAAGAGTGGAGAGACGCCAACTAACTGGACAACACCCCACCACCGTACACAGACCACCAGTCTCCCAGCCCACCACCATACCCCGTCGGACCAGCCCCCACCACCGCCACAGTAAACCCAAAAAGAAAACTCACACCCCAAAATTACAAGGCACCAAACCACCACCAAACCCCCACCACACCCACCGCGTCCCGTCAGCCCTCCACCACCAAACCCCCACAACCAGAAATGGGAGAATAGAAGGATTCTAGAACGTGCGCATGAAATTAGTGGTTAAAGTCTGTCTAGGTTTTAATCACTAGTGAAATACCAAACATACCCCCCTCCCCCCCCCCCCCCTTAACATAAAAACCCATTAAATTAAACATTACAACCCCGCGAGAATCACAGCCATCCAATTGCAAAATCTAATGACCCAGATTAGTCCACATGTTTGTACTTTAAGATGTGTTTTCACCTTAATGTAATTCTATATATATATATATATATATATATATATATATATATATATATATATATGTATGTATGTATGTATGTATGAAAGAGATTGTTGAGTTTATACAACACAAAGATTCAAGATAAAAAAAAAATACGTACAAATTTATAAATTTATATAATCATGAATTAATTTATACGAGTATTATATATCAATTTTTATTTTAATTACAAATATTTATATTAATAATTAAAAATCAAATCAACATAATTATTAAATTAATAATTATATATATAAATGAATAAAGCTCATATCACATTTTTATATATAGAATTTAATAACACTGTATAATTTAATATTTTATCCTTTTATATGTGGGTTAACAAATGTCATACTTTTATATATATATATATATATATATATATATATATATATATATATATCTGTGTGTGTGTGTATGTGTGTGTGTGTGTGTGTGTGTCATTATTGTTTTTTGTTTTATGTAAACCACGAGGTGATCCGGGTCTTTCTCTGTCTGTTTAACTTTATAAGATCATTATTACAAATGAGATTAGCAATATGAATGCATTTTTTGTCATATTTATTGTTTTAACATTTAAATATTACAATGTATAACTATACTTATATTTTTAATAAAATTAATTCTGCTTTGTATCATAACATTACAACAATACTTATAAATTTTGTTCGTGTATTGCAAGGGGCAAATACTAGTATATATAATTAAGAGTACAAAATATTTTTGGTCCTAGACTTATAGTGACATGGACAATTTTAGTCCTCCATAAAAAATTTAGACAATTTATGGACACACTTATTATAACGAGGACAATTTTAGTCCTCCGTCTACATTCCCGTTGGATGGCCGTTTGAGAAGATGGTATTTGTGTCATTTCATGTTATCTCCTTCTTGTAGCCTTCTAGAGTTGTGTTGTGTCATTTATGTTATCTCCTCCTACCCTTCTTCAGAGTCTGGCGACTCCGTTGACGAAGAAAAAGACGACCACCAATCCCCACCACAACACAAGCTTATTTTCCCCCCATTTCTGGAAGAATTCCGAGCTGTGAAATATAGTTACAGCAAGAAATCGACGCGGCTGATCCTCGAAGTGGTTTCCGATCATATGCAAAACTGCTTCCGTTCCGCGCTGAGCGACAAGATGGGCGGCTAATCCTCACCTTTGTAAATAATCCACCCCATGAAGAAACAGAGGGCCCGGATGCAAACAAGGTGCTCGACGAAATGCCAAACAGTGAAGATAACAATCCCACCCGATTGATGGCTACGAGGAAGAAGAAGAGGAGGGTATTGCTACACACCCATTTTGCGTCTTCTTCTTCTATCTTAGCTCCTCCTAATACACACCCACTTTCTTGTAGAGATCATCAGCTCCCTCGTTTGCCACCAAGAACAATCTGCTCTGGGAAAGGGTCCGGCCAATTGCGACGGAGGTTTTGAGGATGAGACCAAAATGGGTCCCCTTTTCATACGAATCTCAACCGTACAAGCGGCTTGATCAACAGCACCAATAGCATTTTGATGATCACATCGCTCGATAGCTCGTCCATTTCCCCGATTCCTTCAGTTGCAGAGATGAATCGATATAATTCCTTCTTGATTACTAGTATTTAACGGTGGTGGAGGAGGCGACGCAACGGCGGCAGTAACGCCGGACGCGACGGCGGTTGAACCGAGAAATTACAAAAACCGTTCAGCACTGTTCTTCTTCGTTGAACGAAAATAGCCATGGAATTTTGTATGATTTGCTCTAAATACAGAAACTATACCAGCATTGTTCATAGTTTGTATAATGGGAATGTTTCATAGAATAATGAAACTAACAAAGAAGAGTTTCCTCGTCAGTCAACAGAATTGATAGAAGACCACATTGAATGACAGAAATGCCCCTCATTTAGACAGTCAACAGACAGTAATTTTGACGGAGGACGAAAATTGTCTTCGTCAGAATAAGAGTGTCCACAAATTGTCTGATTTTTTTATGGAGTACCAAAATTGTATGTGCCACTATAAGTCTAGGACCAAAAATGTCTTTTAATCATTAATTAATTAATACCCAATTTTTTTATATTTACAAATTTACCCAAATATATATACTAAATCCTCAATTTCCTAACTCAAATTGTCACAATTATCCTTTGTCGTTGCTGTAGACGTAAGTGAAGATATCGGTTCGGTTTAGACTTTTATTTTAATTTAAGAAATTTGAAATAATATGCATTGTGGACTTGTTGTTTAGCTTTTTTAAATTTAAATTATTAGTGAAAACAAATAAATAGTTATATGTGCAAGAGATCAGAACTAGAGAATGTTTGAGTTTTAAAACCGAACCGAATCCAAACCTAACCAAATCCGAGCCGAAACCAAACTATTTCAAAGTGAACTAAAATTTGAAACCAAATGGTTCCATTTTTTCAAAATGGAAACCAAACCAAACCCAAAAAAAAATTGAACCGAAAACCAAAATTTATTTAGTTCAAGAAACTAGCATGTGACTTTTTAAATCTCATAGTTATCGCTGATCTCATAAAAATTTTCTATGTTTTTTAATGAACATATTCATACTTTAGACACCTAAATATATGTGTGGGATGATTTAAAGGTCTTAAAACTTCCTCGTACATCTTCGATGAGATGTAACTGGCCAACGAGGTTATGGCATTTCTGTTGGCGATTGGGCACAAAACATAAAATGCACTAAAAATACACAATAGGAAGAGAGATCTTTGAGTGGATTCCAATAAATAATGGAACCAAAAAGTGACTTCCTTCCATAAGTATATGCTCAAGAAGATACCCTTATTCCCACCATGACGACTACAAAGCCATTCCTTTGCTCAAACTCTCTCCCTCTTTCCAACAACTTTCACTCCATCTCTGTCCATGCTAAACCACTGGTAAGGTCCAGCAACTAGCTCGGGCTCCCGTCCACACACTTCTCGGTCTGATGGAACCTAAGGGTGATGGCAATGGAGAAAACGAAGAGGATGAAGATTGAAGAAGAACACAATGGAGCTTAAGTCATGGTGGTAATCTTACCACTAGGGCAACCTAAGAACCTTTGGCATTGTACCTTACCCAAGTTTGCAGAAATGCAAAGTTGATGCTTTTTTCTTCTACCTGACAACAATAAGAAAGTTCATGGCTTCTAAATACAAAGTGAGTCCTTTGATCATTTGCCTAGTTCATAATTCTGTCTCATTCCAATCTTATGTAGTTCAATCACGCTGATTAGCCTCGTTCATGCCTCATTTTGGGCTTTTGGCCAATCACGCAAATACAATATACTCATTCATCGCTATAAACAAAAGCCTTGCCTGCAAATATCACTAAAGAGAAGCACACCGTGTATACTCGTATAATTGGGAGCTTGCATGCAAGCAGGCATGTGCAGAGATGGTAAACGGTGTGTGAAATCGCATCAGTGACATAGAAATGGTCACCACATTCCACTAAACGTATTAGTCAATAATGTCATTCCAAAATGAAATAAAGGCAAACAAAATCTACTCAAATCTTAGGGAAAACAAAGTTAAAATCAAACATATAGATCGCCGTGCTGAAGGTATAAAGCAGAAATACATGACAAATAGCGACACTTGTCATTCTCGTCAACAACAAACTTAGTAAAAAAAGCCAAGAACTTTTCCTCCAGCATTCTTTCTCCTGGCTTCCTCGTGGTCCATGATGCCGGCAGATGTAGTAAGCACAATGTATCCAAACTGAAAATTCATCAAATAGAATGTGTAAACTAACACGCCAAAATCCAAAATAGCTTTTATATCATTATAATTACACATAAAAGTAATGTACTTCTCATGGCCAAACCCAAGAGGTAATTGCAGAGTTCTGCTCCCCAAGGTGATAGGATATGGGATTGACCCTTTGGAGATATACAGGATTCCCTCCTTTGCAGGAGAGCCTCAACTGCTCATCAACAAAGAAATCTTTATTTTGTGACAATTGCTACCACTTGGGTCTTGCAAATAATCAGTGATCTGCCCCAAATTCAATGTGGCTCATCACTCTTAATGTTGAAACAAACACGCTACGGAAAACATGATAGAAGTACAAATTGATTAAATACAGTCTAGACAATCAGATCAAATATACTTGAAAACAAACAATAAATTCATTTAGAGAAAAACCCCAAAGGGCTCCCTTTCAGTGTAAAATACAAATCAAGAAACTCAGACATGAGCTCAAAATCAAGGAAACTGGAATGTATATTTCAGAACATAAAAACCACACCAACAATATAAACCTTTATGAGATAAAGAATTTTGAGATCTGTTACTTTCATATGAGTGACAAAGAATGTGTACCAACATTAATCCTTTGACAAGTACATTACCACAACACAATGCTCGTCTTGGCCAAAAACGATTAGAAGTATGAATCAAGAAAGATCAAAAGTAAACATCTCCAAGTGAAAATAATAATTAAGGAGAGTGTATGATACCTGTCTTGATGGAAGCAACCTTGCAGTCCATCCTTCGATGTCCTTGACACCAATGTCAAAACGAGGACTAATTACACCACACTTGTTTAACCTGCCATTCAACTCAACGACAATTTTACCAGCTCTGTGATCATCCACATACTCAAACTCCCCAATGTATCCTGCAAGACATCCAAGAGTAAGCAAACCAAGACCACCAAACCCATGACAACAA